TAGGAAGGCTAAATGCCTTCAGGTCAGCCATGTTTAAGGAAATTCTTAGTACATACTTATAGGCGCCATTTCAGAAATACAAACACTTCTCCTTGAGAGCTCTTGGAGGGCAGGTGAGGCACCAGAAGACAGGGAAAAAATGTAAACATGGTGCCTCTCTCTAAATATAGAGGGAGAAAAGAGGAGTAAGAATTATAGACCAGTCAACTTCTAGAAGCTTTCAAGAGAATTGAACTATCAATCATGTAATTTGCAACCACCTAGGAGATAAAAAAGGAGATGAGTGACATATAGCATGGATTATACAAAATTAGGCATGTTAAACTAGTCTCATTTGATTTCTCAGCAGAAGTAGGAGAGCAATAGTTGGTGCCATATCTAGATTTTGGGAAGGCTTTGTCAGAGTCCCACTGGATTTTTTAAAAATGACCTGGAAAAATAGTGCAGATAAACCTACTACAGCTCTTACACAAAAACAGGTGAGTAGCACAACTCATTCCCAAAGTGTACAGTTATCAGTGGCTCGTGGTCAGAGCAGAGGACTCTGTCAGCCAGGAATCCACTGGGGTCTGTGTCAATTTCCTTCTAAATTTTCATCAGTGAAGAATGGATGGAAATACATCATTACTTACCCCTGGCAGTGACATGGAGCTGGGAGAGATGTGCTTCAGTGCATCAAAGGTTAAACTTTACAGCTTCAAATGATCTTGGCAGACTGGAGACGTGAGGACTGGGTCTAGTCTGTGGCACTGTGCCTCAAAAAAGAAGAGGAGGACCTGCTTGAGAAGGTGTAGGGAAGTGTTAGTGTGTTGACTAAAGCTGGCTCAGGTTGGAAGGGCTGAAAGGAAAGCACCGGAATAGCTTGGCTGGAACTGATGTACGGGAATGACGATGGCTGTAGCCTCTGCTCCAGGAAGTTTTCAGGATGATGGGCAAGCATTTCCCTCAGGAGTGACCTGGGCAAAGTGGCTCCTTGGTGGGATCAGCCCCCAGCTGAGCTCCAGCCCCAGTGCACCCACTGTCGTGGGCTGTTCCCCAGGCGCGGGGGCCGTGCGTGTCAGCAGGGACAGGGGCAGACTCAGCTCTGGCTTTGCCTTCTTGGTGCAGTCCTTGGGTAGTGAAAGGCTGAAGGCATGTAAGTGCTTTGTTGAACAGAAGCCAAAGCAAGCTGCTATGCAGAATGCACCCCCTGCTTCCAAGTATTTCATTTATTTTGTAATTAAGCAATAATTGCTGAGGCACTGGGCACTTCTTCAGGATTAATGACTTGCTGGGAGATGGCAGAATATCTGATCAGTGCTGCAACCATTTTCTCCAGCAAATACCTGCTTGTTCCTGCCATTCTGAAATGAGTACAACAACACAACCTGCCAACATATGGGTTTTGCTGTTAGCAGCTGAGGGATGGGGAGCAGGCATTAATGGGTACCTTAGGCAATCAGGTTGCTTCAGTTGTCTCTCACCATTCCATTCAGAGCACAGTGTTTTATTAGTCACTTGGTGAATGAAATGGCTTTTTAATTGCTCAGAATCACTTTTTTAAATTACAGCACTTTCTCCCCCCTCTACAGCCCTTGGGAATCCTCTTAAATCCCTTCTCTTCCTTTGCCCTGGAGAGAACCAGTTCTAGTGTGGCAAAGAGGAACCTGCCTGCAGCAGTTTCCTTTGTAATCTGGACCCTGGGAAAAATATGTGCCATTTAAAAAACAGAGCATTCACATTTTTGGTGCTGAAAACCCTCTGCTCCCATAATTTGCAGGTTGATTAAGGAGTAACCTACCCTGCCTAAACCTGTAGACTTTACAGTGTTGGTGTGCTGCTCACTTCTGTTAGTTCCTACATCTGTGTTTTATTAATGGTCAAGCCCACTACAGCACACAGACCCCACTGCTTCTTGTGTCCTGTGGCACCAGGAGCTGGCTCAAGCCATGTCCTGTAGCAAGATACCTCCCAGGAGTAGTGTTGGAGCTTTAAATGTCCTTTAGACAGTAAAGCACAACAGCAGGTGAGAAGAAAGGTGTATCCCAAACAGGTGAGTGGCAGCATGAACATTTCCAAAGGGCTGCAGGATTGGAGCCATCACATTGCCGATGCAAGAAAATGGAGAAACGCTTGTGAAAAGCATATAGGACAATAAACCAGTTCACAGTGTCCTAGCAGGCTTTGGAACAGGAGTCAGGGGGGATTTGCTCACTCAAATATTAGGTAATGTGCTCACTGCATGATTGATTAATCCATAGGTACTTCCCACAACAAAACTTCCATACTGGTATCCACAGTGCTGCTTTCTCCATGGCTGCCTTCTAGAGAGATTTCATAAAGGAACAATTGGGGTGTTTTTTCTCTGCCACCTTTAAATTACCAGTTTTACTTCTGTGTTTGAATGATGGCAGCCTTGTTACCCAGCCGCAGTGTGTTCACTGAGGGATCCCAGAGCCACTCTCCATCCCTTAATTCTGCCCCTTCAGCACAAGGATCTCTGTTACTCAATAGGGAACTACTGGCTTGGAGTATTTAGAAGTGGAAGTGTCAGTAATCATCTTCATGGCACAAAGCTAAAAATGGTTTAAACTCTGAGGAAGACCAGAAACCAAAGCTCACCTCTTTCCCCATACAGCTGTTCAGCCCTCTTTTTGCCTTCTGAATTCCTGAGCTGAAGCCAGTCAGTAAAAGCCAGAAACAAATCCAGCCCAAGCTGTGGGCATCACTCCCATCTCCTCCATCCTGACCAACAGCTGGACCAAACAAATTTCAGCAGCATCCTCTTGAGGCCATTATGCTGCCTATTGTGCCTGTCCTCACCCTTTCTTTCTCCCCCCTTACGTTTCCTTCTCTTAGTTGCTCAAAACCCAGCATTTAATCTTGCTTGCCCTAAAATCCAGCCACAATCCAACCATCCAGAAAAAATGAATTATTCCTGGTGATGCTTTTATGAACCGCCTGCCTGCTTCCCATGGGACCCCTGCTCTGCTGTGCTTCGTGCTCAGAGCTGGGAGGAAGAGCTGCTGTACAGTCTCTCTTCAATTCAAACAGAATTGATGCAGATCCTTTTGCCTTGTGCCACTCATAACTCTTTGTGTTGACTGCTCCTTTCGGCAAAGAACACATTTCCCAGAAGTTCAGCAACTTGTCTGAGTAACAGTAAATGATCCATGAGAACCAGTGCTGATACCTGGCTCTGCTGCCCCACCTCCTTCCCATCACTCAAATGCTATTGTTCCAAACCTCACCACGATCACTGGATTCACAGGAAATAAAAGCTAGAGTACAAGATCTGCTGTTGCCCATAACTCCATTAAAATCAAATCAAGCTATTGAAATTTTTTGGGCAAATTGTCAAGTCTGGATTTACTAAGTCAGAAAGATTTTCATCCACCCCTGTTCTCCTCAGCTTAGGTGAGGGGAGCCAGCAGCCCCCTGTGCTGTTTCCAGCACAACACCACCATTTGCCTTTGCTGGAGGCTACCCAAGCAGAGGGCTCTGCCCAGTTCCTCAGATCAGTAGCTTAAAAATGTCCTGATCACCAGGATTCAAATCAATTGATTTGAATTATTGTCTGTCTGAGGCTCTCTTTGCTTGTAGTCATGTTTTTCCAGGACTCAGGGGTTGTTGAGCTGCTCCTCCCAGGAGCTCAGTGTTCAGTGTTGAGTAAGCAAAGGTTGAGGTGGGGACAGCAGAGAGTCAGTCACTCGTGTTAGAAAACCTTTTTGTGAGCTTTACATCAGGGGAAGGAGATCTCTGTTTTGGTCAGCATGTTTCTACCAGCCTTGTTCTTGGTGTAGTCATCTGTTAATAACACCGGGCTGGCATCCAGCCCCATTCTCCATCCCAGCACTGTATCTATTGCAAGCTCACAGTGTGAGCTAGTGCTCCCTCTCTCCCAGGGGATGCCAGCACTTGTTGGGACCTTTGATGTTGTGTATCTGAAAAAAAAGGAATCAAAAATCCTATGACAGAAAGGGTGCTAGGTATTATCAGAGACCAGATCTGTTACTGAAGATCTGTTGTCCGGTGACATCTGAGGATGAGCAAACATGGATTTCATTTTAGCTAAGCAGATCATTCTCTCCGACATTTAAGACATAACTTATGTCTTCACTGGGAAGAATTATTGTCAAACACAATTAGTTCTGCAAATCCTAGTTGTTTTTGGAGACACATCCAGACTTAGTTCTGGAGTTACTTAGAGATGAATAAATTACAGGGATCAGTCTTTGACCTAAGCAAGGGACTGCAATAACTTGCTCCATCAAATAGTTCCTTTGCATAGTTTAATAGAGACCAATGCACAGAGCATCCAGCACACAGAGCGGGTAGGACTGTGGGTCACATTCCCATCTTGCTTGGGGAAGGGATAACATAACATGCCTTGAAGCAAAAAAAATCTCAGCAATTATTCTAAAGGAGAGAGAAGGAGGGAGGAGGAAGTTTGGAGCGTAAGTACTTTAAGTGCTTCATAGCTAAGACACTTCCCCCTCCGTGCCCGAGTCCCGTGTGTACAGGGATATTTCGACTCTGGTTCCTTTTGTGAGGTACCCCAGAAGTTACTAAAAGGACTAGACAATAACTAGAGAGTTTCTATCACTCGTTCCAGTGGTTAAGGTCTGATCTGATGGTCATTTGTCCACGTTGAACATATTCCCATAGACCTTGACTGGGAAGGTAATGTAGGACCTGGAAACCTCCACCCTGTGACTGCTGAGCATGCAAACACGAGGTGCTCCAGTCTTCAGCATTTGTAGTTCATTTGGGAAGGAGGTACCATATGCACCAACTGTGCACAAAACCTTCTTGATAGAGAGCAAAAGGGATGCTAATTCCAGCACTGGGCTCAGACACACTACTGGTGAATAACCAGAAAGGTTTAAAAAGAAATGCTGACTAAATTAAGCGAATCAAGCCAGCAGATGTGCTCTTCAGAAGAGCACAGCTGTCTTTTAAATGTCTCTCCCACTGAAATTACATTTTCAAGAGTTTTTTGTCCTTTGCATTTTCTTCAGGATCATCCATGAGGATGGCTTCTCTGGAGAAGATGTGAAGCAGTACAAGCCAGTGGTCTACAGCAACACTATACAGTCACTGGCAGCTATTGTCCGTGCCATGGATACCTTGGGCATTGAGTACGGCGATAAGGAACGACGGGTAAGTTAAAATCACCACTGCCTGGTACACACACTCCAGACCATGAACAGGAGGCATTTGCACAATCTCAGTGCCTTGGAGGGATAAGGAGGGAGGGGAGATTTACATCACTGCCGTATGCCTCCTGCACACGCATTTTGTACAACAGAGATACAATTGCATGTGATGTGCCATTTGTACACTTATGCTGGGTAGTGTAGCCTTGGGGACCACTGTGGCACAAAGGCCACAATCTCTCATGCCCTGGCTCTAGTCGGGCCAGGGAAGAAAAATAATCTGTTGTCTAGGGACAGCCTAGACAGATCTACTGATAGATTTGAGAAAACAGTGAGAACATGTGTCCTGTCTCCTGTGCATGTGGAGGACACACAGGAGACAGGACACACAAGCTGCATGGACTGATGAATCAGGGAGAAGTCTTGCTGCCATTCAAAGCCCTTCCACCAGCCTGATAATGTAGGAAAGCTTTTAGGATTAACTTCACTGGACCTTGATGGCTTCTACTCACACATCCCCCATTTAAGTGTACCCAAACAGCAATTTCAGTTGCAAACTGCATTACTTCAGCAATGTTGGTATGGACAGGCTCTTAGACAGCAGCATTGGCATCTGTCTTATCAGAACAGCTATGTGATCCTTGGCAGCCTTCTTGTACCACACACCTAGGCCAGCCTGTCCTTTTACAGTTGCTAGTCTGTGATTACTTTCACCAGCTCCCTATTTTTAAACAGTGGCTCCTCTGTGAGGTGCCCCTGCCAGCCTCTGCCTTGCATTGCTGGCTCAGACCAAGCCCACACAGAGGAACTCAGAACCTTACAGTGGAGTCACAACCACCCTTTTTGCATGCTGCAGTCCCAGAGAAGGTAAAACTACTGATTTAACTGGAAATAAAACAATTTCAAAATAAAGACCTGGTAAAGGCAAAGTCCTATATGCCAGTGAATTTTTCATGACTATTTTTGGGTAGCTATCAAATGACAGATGTACAATGTACAATGTACTCCGAACTCCTTATCTGAGTGTTGATAATAAAAGCACTCACTAGAAGGGATGCCAAAATCCTGCTATGTTGTTACTGTATGAGAAGGTACCTTATTTCTCCCAATCACAAAGAGGTACTTTGATTTCTTTGCATCTAGGGATTTTCCCGTAGGAACTCTAAATCCTGGAGACATTTCCATCCCAAACGTGGAGATGATACCATAATGGAGTTCTTGTGAGCTTGCCGAGAACTAATGCTGATGGCTTTCAAACTGAATATATTAATCTGTTGATTACTCAGTGACTCAGCTCTCAGCAAGGCAACGTATCTCACTCAGCTAAAACCTATGCCTAGGAAAAACAGAAACAAGTCATTCTCCATGTCTGATAAATAGTCTGTGGCAGACAGCTTTAAAATGTAATTTTTTTTTTTAAACACCTAAAGTCCTAATTTGAGGAGGGAAAACTCATCACTGCTTTAGTGCCAGGCCTGGCACAGTACAGGGGGTGGAGGAGGAGAGCTGTTATCAGGACTGCCAGGAACAAGAGGTGGAGTACTGAGCTGAACAAAATGTTGTGTCCATTCGTATTCCCGTGCAAAAGATGCCAAATGTTCCTAGGGTTGTACAAGAACTCAGGCTGGAGAGGAGCTCAGGAGGTGTCGAGCCCAACCCCTGCTCAGGTAAAGTCTAAGGTCAAACCAGGTTGCTTAGGGCTCTACCCAGTGGTGTCTGAAACCATTCAAGGATGGAGACTTCACACCCTCTTTGGGCAGCCTGCTCCACTGCTCTTAGAGTCCTCGTGAGGAAAAGTTTCTCCTTATGTCTAGCATGAACCACTGTTGTTTTAATTTATGCTTTATGGCAGTAAAGATCTCGTATTATGCTTTGCAAAGTAAAAAGTAAGTTTGATTAAGTTCTCCCCAGCCTTGTTTCCTCTAAGATGTAGTTCTGGAGGAATTACTCCTGTCTAACAAAGGTGTCATGCTGACTGTGTGAGACAAGCCTGCCACAAACCACTGTAAACCAAATCACTGCCTGGGAGGGTGTTCAGTGTATCTGTTCCCTTCATAGATGGCCGAAATATTTGTTCATCCAGCAGCAGACAAAGGAAAAGGAAACCAAGAGGAAAAGGGAAACTAAGGGAAGGAAACCAAGTCTCTCAGGTTCTGATCTTCCACTTGCTCCTTTCTCTTAGGCACAGAAAGTTGCTGGTATTAGTATGAAATAGTATTTATTTTAATCTTACAAAGAAGCACATGGCTTCTGCTGCCCTGCTTTTGTTATTAATGCACAGCTGCTAAAAAGAGAGGCCATTAAACAGGCGATTTGTTGAGTATTATGCTATGTGGTTCATCCCTTTTCAGGCAAAGCTTTTCTATTTTAAAAGTCATTCCTCAGCCAAGGGTTTCCAATGCAAATCTTTTAGTGGGGGATTTTTCCCTACTCATCACTTAAGCCCCAGGAGAAGGGAGCTCAGGAAGGGGAGCCAGGGCTGTGACTGCTCCAGCCTGATTCAGCAGCAGGGAAGGAGGGGACTTGTGCCTAGGACAGGTTTTCCCCAGAGACCACTTGGCTATTACTGCTTCCCCCATCCCACATTCTGGGAGATCATCTGCACCCATATCCCTTCTAAATGATACCTTGACCACGTTCAAAGAGGAAAAAACCCTCCCCTACTTAATAAGTGCATGTTATTATTGACAGAAAATAACCAAACCCTCTCACTGTTCTCATTTTTCTCTTGCCCATTATTGTACTTCCAGTATTTAGTCTAAAGGAAGTGAAGAGACTGGGGAAAGACTAAACCCCCTTGTTTTTGGCGGTCAAAGCGAGATCAGTGTAGGAAATAGGACCTAAAAAGACAAAATAAATCACAAACAGCATATGCTCCAGGTCTTGCTGACCCTCTCTGCTGACTTCTCCCCAGGTCGAGAACAGAACAGCCTGTGTGTCAGATTTCACTTTTATGTGTGCTCCTTGTCCAGACCAGCTGGTTTTCTTGCAGCTTTGCCCAGCTCACAAAAGGTTCATGGCCTGTGGGCAGCACCCAGGTCCTTGTTTTGTGACCTTCAGCGGGGAAGGCAGGAGCACATCCTGCCAGCTCACAGCACATTATCACTGTGCACAGCGTGGAAGGCCAGGCTGAACTCCAAAAAAGCTGTGCAAGTGCAGAGGCACAAATCCTTCACGTGTTACAAGAGGGCGGGCAGAAAAGGAGCAGTCAGTGAGGAGACAGGAGCCAGCTGCAGGAGAAGTGGCATCTGTGGGTGTTGCTCATCTCCAGGGCCACCACTGCCCAGGTGGATCCCTGACAAGACAAGGGGTTGCACACAGGAAGAGAGGCAGAGGCTTAGTCTCACCTCCCTACTCAGGACAGCTGGTCTGTAGGGCACTACTCAGTCCTTACCTTGATAATCAGATTAACAGGCAGGAAAGAGTCAGGCTGTAACATGTAGCCTGTGGATTAAATGGTCCTCTAAAGTGCAAATGTATTAATAAAACAAGGTCCTCACTGATTCCATTTCAGTGTACTCAGGCAGAGGAAATGGAGGTTTGAAACCAGGAATCTAGAAGTCAGTCCAAGTGTTTGGAAAGGATCAAGCAGGAAGGGCAGGGTAAGGATGGATTTTCATATCTCTGTCTGAAAATCTGGTTCTGAAGTCTGGCTTCAAAACCCCAGCCAGAAGAAGCATAAGGTCTCTTCCTCTGTGGGTTAATGCTGACCCCAGAACCCACTTGGAAATGCAGACTTGCAATCCCACTTTGGTGAAATGCCAGAGCTACAGCCAGGCTGGGGGGCCTGAGGGCGTGTCTTCAGCCTGGATTGGTCCCAGGCTGCAATGGGCATCCTGCCCTGTGCAGGCTGGTATGAAAGCAGCTGTAGAGCATGCTCATATTTTCATAAACCAGACAAAAACAGACTGAAATTGTTCAGAAAGTACTCGACAGAGAATGCAAATATCAATTGCATGGCTCAGATCCAAGTGTTCGAAGTGAGAGGTCACAGGTCACTTGGGGTCCAGAGGTGACAGGCAGTGATCTTCACATCAAACTTTTTCCCAGTGTGAGTCTGGACATGTCTCTGCTTCAGCTATGAACAGGAAAACTAAAAAGCTGCTGAAGTGTTAAAATATTTTGATTGGGATATTTTTTTTTGATTGTCTGAGAAGAAAGAGGTGACTTTGTAGCAAAATGTGTCTGTGGTGACCTTCTGCTATGTATGGTCTGCAACTCCTGAACTGTGAGCCAAACAAAGATGTGCTGGGACATTTTAAAATACTGGCTAGTAGCCTTGAATAAAGCCCTTCTGTAGTGTAATTGAACAGCCCACCCGGGGAGGCTGGCAAAGAGGTCCATGTCAAATCTGCTTCTGAACAGAGAGGTGCTTGTAGAAACCTGGTGCCTCCAGCACCTTCCCCTCTGCACATGCCAAAATGGGATTTTAGGAACTGTCCTCTTCCTCTTGTTCTTGCTTGGCAGGAGCAAAGTCACAGCCACTGTCACCTGCTGCCTTCCAGGCGCTGGAGGGGAGCAGTGTGGGGGAGGATCTGTCTTTCATAAGATCTGCTCTGCGTAACTGGCTTTTTGTACTTGTCAGCTCGAGATATTGTGCTACTTCATTTGAGTCAGGTATCTGTTTAGACCAGCTGGCTCCTACTGTGTGTCCCCTACCCAAGATTTCTCAGAAATACAAAAAGGCTGCTAATAATTTCAGGGAGGGCAGGTGAGGTTAATCAGGCACTGCTGTGCTGGTAAGAAGCCTCCCTTAGCTAACTGGGTGATGATCTTGGAGATGGACACAGGATTCCTGGGCTTGTGCTGCTTGACTGAGGATGCAGGCAGTCCATGCTGATCTGCTGTTGTAAGTGATGGGTACTTAGGGCTGCTTTGTAGAAGAGCAGGATGGAGTGGAAGAAAAGGGAAAATGGAATAAAGAGGTGGCACTAGACATGCCATTTTTTACCTGGTGTCAGCATTTGTCTGGATATCCAGCTACAGACAATGTCTTCTTGCAAT